AAGAAAAAGCTACTATCCAGAATAGGGATAACAGTCTCCATTTTCCATTTCTATCACAAATTTCTGGAAGTCAAAGATAGAAAATGTCAAAGACTCCAAAATGCCATTACTCGGTCCTTCTACCAGAACTTCTCCAACAAATAATTGTACTGGTAAAGGACAGATGTCCAGGGTGAATGTAGGTTCCCTATTATTTATACAGAGATTTGAGTTTCCCTCTAATATCCAGGTCAAACTCTCTACTCCCCCAAAACCCTAAGAATAAAACTCCAATAATGGAGCTGGGGATATACTATAGTGGTATAAGGCATACTTAGTATGTGCAAAGCCCTGTATTCAATCCCCAGTACTGCAAAAAAATAAAAATAAGACACAGCTCTTTAGAATTACAGGCTAAGGCCAGAGATAAAGCTTAGTGGTACAAATGGTAGAGCACATGCCCAGGATGCATAAGGTCCGGGGTTCCTTCCCCAGTATTGGGGGGGGAAGAGAATTATAAATTATATATTTAATGTCCTAACTGTACATTTAAACTAAAAAAAAATAGTATGTGAACGAACTGATTATGCTTGCTTAAGAAGATTTCCACATTAAAGCCCAAATGAAATGCCAAAGGCCCTGACAGTTAAATACTAAGTGAGGTCTGTTCTGAAATTGCTTAGGAATCCCTATGGGAACTCGCTCTTCCATCAGGTCAGGGATTTGGCATCACAGGGAGTTGGGAAAGACATCTTAGCAATCCCAGAATATATAAATCTGCAACTTACACACTTCCTCTTTTGCAGCAGTTATGAAACACTTGCTGAGCAGCTGTGGAACATTAGCATTTTAAGAACAACACAGAAGGCACACAGGCACACATAAGGGATGTTAGCGTATGACATGGCTGTGCATGCGTGAGTTAAAAGCCAGCTCCTACAGAATCTGTGTGACAGGGGATCATGCTGCTTCACTTTAGTGGCAACAACACAAAACTGGTATGTAGTACAGGCTGAACATGTATGTGCAAATCTGAAATACTCTATCTTGGATATATGTCTTCCATGGATGTTTGTTGATATTACAGGATAGGCACAGCAAGTCACCCTAAGATCAGTGGCATTTAATGCTTCAGAACTAGGAAAATAATGTACACATTGTTCCCTGTCATTGTTTGCAAAGTCTGTGTCATGCACTGCTCATCAATCTCTTTCAAAATGAAGGTTCTATATGGTCCACAGAGTCATCAACCTGAGTTGTGTGTTTTATCTCCTAGGCCCCAGGGTTCAACTTCTCAGAAGACAGATCTAATAGCTCTTTCTTTTCTCTTTTTTCTTTCCTTTCACTCATTTATTCATTCTTTTTTTTCGTGGTACTGGGGGCCTTGAAGATGCTAGACAAATGCTACCACTGAGCTACATTCTAAGCCCCAGAAATAGTGTTTCAATTTCAATGAATGACTTTCATTTCAACATCTTCCTCTTATTCAAATTGGAGAAAATCCAAGGTTGAGAAAGTATTCATTATAGTTTTGTCCATTAATTTATACATCCAGAGCCATTAAAAAACAGAAAGACACTCCCCCCCGCCCCCCGCACACACACATCAGTTGTTCAAACTTCTGGGAAAGATAAGGCAGCAAGCCACAGTTAAAATTCAGAGATATTATTATGTACGCCCTTGAAGCTCAAAAGATTACCCCAATTAATGGCAGGGTTAGGTTTCTGACTCTCCCACTAGAGAATGGAGAGGTGACCAACTAGTCTCACAACAGTATGCCTTAAAAGGACTGTTATGGTTTGTTTCTAGTTGTCCCCCCAAAGCCTTATGTAAATTATGGGGCAGACCTGGTTGGAGGAGCACTGAGTGGCTAAGGGGTGGGGCCAGCTGACCAGGGCGGGGCCCGAGGGGCGGGGCCAGAGAAGTGTGAACTGTTAAAATGGCTAGCCTGTGCTTTCTCAGAGAGATGGAGAGGGTCATCCTGGAGACGGCAGCACCCCAGCCTCTCTCCTCCAGTGTCTTGAAACCTCCAGTAACTGTGAGCTAAATAAACCTTTTCTTCCCTAAGCTTGAGTGCCAAGTATTTGTCCCAGCAACAAGAGAAGAGTAACTAATACAAGGCCCTTGAAACACCACTTACTCACAGCTCTTCACTTAACAGAGGATGGAGCCAGGCCTGAGCAGGGACACTGCAGATGGCAGCAAGAATGAATGAATCTATACCTTTATTTCACCACATATAGTAACATCAAATTTTCTTAAATTAAAATAAAAATATCAGCCACGTATGGTGGTGTATACCTGCAGCCCCAGCTACTTGGGATTTTGAGGAAGGAGAGTCAGCTGCGTTTATGGCCAGTTTGGGCAATAACACAGTGAGATTCTATTGTAAATAAATAAAATTTTAAAATTCTTGAAAAGAGAAATGGGCTGGAGACCATTAAATGGTCATTAAGTTCTTAGTAACAAATGAGAATGTATACTCCTACCCAAGCTCTTCATTTGCCCATCTGTCAGCCTAACAATTCTCTCAATACCCATCTACACAAAATGACACTATGAACCAGTTATCCCTCTGGCAACATCAATGCTTTTCAGATGCTCTTACCTTCTCTCAGTTGTTCTTGGAAGACCTCATCAGAGAAGGTGCTGTAAGTTCTTTGGCTGTGGCTGAACCAAGAATGACTTTTGAGTTCTTATGAGATGATGGTCAAGGGTCAAATCAAGTGTCAGTCAAGAACCCATTCAGCCAAGATGGAAATACTAGGCTGCTGCAGGAACTTTGAGGGTGGGAGTTGGTTTCCACTCTTGCTCATGTGGTAGGTTCAGGAGGCAGCTAGGCCATCAGCGAGTAATTTTCAAATAGCGCTTTAGTGGGGGTAACTTGCCAGAGAAGTGCAAAAGCAGATAAGAAACCATCACCCGTAATTATCTGATGTCCTGCCAAATTTGACAACAGATATTCTGATGTCTAATGGTTTTCAGAAATACACCATGTTATGATTTGTATCAATTCTAAAATTTTGAAAGATTTTGTGACAAGGAATTAATTGCCTAGATTTGGGAGGTCGGTTTAAAAATTCCCTAGAAGATCAAAAGAGAAATATTCTGTGCTGTTGCTTTTTAAGTGATCCTAAATTTGAAAGTGTAGAATATAGTACATGGAGTATTAATCTATCAGGATCCATGTTGAGACTTCCTATTATATCAGAGCTCAAGATTGCATCTTAGAATCTAAGTCACAAATGCAACATTTCATACAATAACCTATTTAGGGCTGCCACAAAAACTTGTCTTTACTACTTATCTTTAAAATACCTATATAAGACGTAATACAAGCTATGACTTACTCTTTTTCCAATGATGCACAATGTAGAAGCAAGACAAGTGGACAAAAGCAAACACAAAAGCAAACTAGAATGATCTCATAATCTCACTATGAAGATAGCCTGTTTTTCAATTCTGCCTTTGTTTAGAATTTATACCCTTTGGTGGCCAGAGGTTAGAAGTGTGACTATAAATTAATGACCTTGACTTTTTAAGAATGAACTGTGGAACTGGCTACATTAATCTTTATCTAGAGTCCATTTTATATAAAAGTCATAAACAAAAGACCACGGCACTAACTGAGGCAGGTTTGATAGGAAAATCAAAACAGAACTTTGAGGGTTTGGGAGATAACTCAGTGGTGTAAGTGCCTGGACAAGAACATGGACCCAGGTTCAAGCCCTGGTACTGCATGTCATGCTAGTCCCATGCTGAGCTTGATACCTAAACTGGCCACCGAAACTGGGCGTGGTGGCGCACACCTGTAATCTCAGCACTGGGGAGGCTGAAACAGGAAGATTTCTATGAGTTTGAGCTGTGTAGTGAGACCCTATACCAAATACATAATTTTTTTTTTTAAAAAAAAAAACAATTTTGAGAAGGAATCTTTCCAATATCATGAAATCATAATCATAGAACATCAGGTCCCAAAGCTCAGTACCAAACCAATGAACAACCCTTCTGATCCCAGAGACACATAAAGATTAGGGTGAGCTGTACAGACTAATTTGCAGGACTGACTAAATCTGATTTTGAAAGATTACATTTCATATTTGAAAGTCATCAAAAATTCAAAGTTGTCTAACATCTAAAAATTTTAAAGTTAAAGATATTGATTCCTGTCTAGGGAAAGTTAATACTGCAACTAGTGAAAGTTTAAAATACTGCTTATTCTGTAGTTTTCTCTGCAAAATTATTCTACTTAAATTTTAAATAATAATTAACTTTGGGCTTGCCTTAGCAATACCTTCCTCTTAAACGTGGCTAGTAGTAGAGCCTCTGGGCTCATACACTGCAAACTCCACCCTAACAACAGAAGGGAAAGACAGGCATCAGCTGGATGTCTGTTTTCTACATGCATCCTAGACTGTGTCAAGGTCTTTTTTGAAATAGCCCATGGAGGTTGTCAGCATGAAAGCACGTCCTCAGGCCAGCAGGGATGAGCCCTTTACTTGGTGGCAATTTCCCTTGAGTCCAGTTTTTTCCATTACAGGCAAACTAAGCAAGTTAGCCTTTCAGCATGTATTTCCCTTTTCTAGTAAGTACTATGATTTAATGAGTATTCTATATACTACTTCTGTTCTTTAAAGCTAAGAGGGTATTTCTGGCTAGAACCTTTTCTATATATGAAAGTAAAGCCACATTTTCAGCACCTTATGCCACAGAATGGGTATGACTGAGCCCTGAGTGGAATGTTCTGAGTTGTGTAGTGGTGATCATGGTATTAGCTTAATTATAGAACCAGGATATAGCTTAGTGACACAGTGCCTCTGGTAAGCACAAGGCCCTGAGTTTGATTCCTAGTACCGAAGGAAAAAAAAAAAAAAAAAGTAGGAAAAAAAGTAACAGAACCTGGGACAGAAAGACATAAAAGCATCCCAGCCCTCCACAACACAGCCCCATGCACATGACTAAGTGAGAAGCCAATCACTGTCCAAGTGCCTGTTAGACTCACAGTTCTGTCCATGACCCACCTGTTATGACCTTGCATGTCCCCCAGCTCTTTCTGTAGCCTGGCATTCTTCTCCTCTTCCTCCAACAGCCTCCTCTTCACAGTGCGTAGCTCCTGCTGGGCCTCACATTTGATGTCATTGGCCACCACCACTGCAGTCTGCAGGTCTGCCTGGAACCGCCTCCATTCCTCAGTCTCCTCCTGAAAACACCAGAGGCCATAGCTATGTCAGATACCTGCTGAGTCCTCATCTATACAAGAGTTGTGGAATTCCCTTAACAATCCCTGAGAAAGAATGGCCAGTGATGAGACCCTACTTTAAATGGTATCTTGCTACTAGGAAGAGGCACAAGTGGACATCCCATCATGTGAGAGTTCTCCATCCTAAAACTGACCAACAACTGTTAAACTTTTATTTCCTGACAACAAGAATATACGTCTGGGGTCACACGAAGGGAATACTCCATGAGAAAGCAGGTTGGAGAGAGCAATTAGTGTTAATCCTATTTTTCCAGAGCTAAGACAGGAATATGTACAGTGAAATGATAGAGGAGCACTACCCACAGCTATACCCCACACACCTTTATCTGCTTTGTCAGGGTCTTCAGTTGCTGTTCCAGGTCTGATTTCTGCTCTTCTAGCTTGATCACACTGCCTAGAAGTAAACGATTCAGACAGGAGTTATAAAGTAGGAGAAGGTAAGCTAAGTAGCAAAAGGGCAGCGTCAGAGGCAACAAAAGGCACACAAATCCATCCCTTCTACTATACATTCAGTTTTAGCACCCTGCAAGCAGGAAGCTAGAAGCAAGTGGATCTTCTAAGACGGGAATGGGATGACATGGGAAATAAGTGTGGCTATTTATGATATATTCTCAGAAAGCAAGATGTACTATCACATAGCACTATAAGAGAAGACTTTAGCAGCCACTCGTACCCAACAGCTCTACATCAGGACGTGGAGCCTGAGTTAGTGTTTGGGGCCAAATGCCACAAAGTAAGAAAGCTGTCCTTTATTTCTTTGTATGACGCCATTTTTTTTTGGGGGGGGGAGAGGTGGGGAGTGATTTGTCTAGGGCTGGATTTGAGTATCTTCTGATTCTGCTAACAAATATATCTTACTAATACCTTACTGTTCCTAGCAGATGTTTAAAAGCTCAAAAAACTTGTCTGTGTTATTTTCAGTTTCTTATATATTATGATATAAGCACTGAAGAGTGGCCCTAGAATTTGCTCTGGACATTAATTATACATTAAGGTTTGCTCGGTATATCTGGGCTGACATTTAAGAGTAACACAACCATATTCTCAATAGAAATATATCACAAAAACAAAAGTTTATTATTTTCAAAGCTGGTGCTATGTTTGGAATTATACACTGACAAAGGTGTCTAGGTTTTTAATTATATCCACAAGATGACTCAAACCTGGGCGACAATGAGTACTGATGCTCTATGGTTGTGCACATCACACTTAATGACGACTGGAGCAGGCACTGGCAATGACCTAACCAAATAACCCAAGTACAGAACGCACAGTCAAATCTTATTATTCATGGTACTTCTATAACTTTTTATAACAAGGGAATTGCTCCTATAGGAATACAAGGTTAGGTTCCTGTGAGCTTCTAAGGATCAGAACATTTTTTATTAACTGAAATGCCATTTGCTTTTTTTTTTTTTGGTGGAGCCAGGGATTGAACTCAGGCCCTTGCGCTTGCCAGGCAAGTGCTTATTCAATTGAGGTATCTCCCCAGCCCCACCATTTGCTTTATACAGAGCCATTTGCCAATGTCTTTATAAAACAAGCTTATATCATCAATATCATCAATATAAGAAACCTCCTCTTCCCTATTCTTTGTAACACTGAACAGGTATTTTAAAAACTATTGCCAGCAGTAGTGGCACACTTCTGTAATCACAGAACTCAGGAGGCTGAGGCAGGGAGCTAGGTGAAAGTTTGAGGCCAACCTGGGGTACACTGTGAGTTCAAGACCAACCTGAACTGTCCGGTGAGACCTTGTCTCAAAATAAACAACAAAAGCTCAAAACTTCTACATCCTCCTAATCTTCAGAATCTTTTCTGCCCTCATTTATAACTTTTCCTATGCCTTAATGTTATGCAATGAAGTTTAACATTTTCCTGACACCAGGGAAAATGAAATTTCTTTGGTTTTAGCATCTCAAAAATGCTACTACAATTTATTAGCCTTATTTCATGAATGCACAAATTTATTCTTTTTGTCATCTTTTCTACAACTTTATCATTCAATACAGGCATTGCTTTAGCACTTTCCAGAGCAGCCTCATGCTCAGAATGGAGAATTTCTTCTTTTCTCTGGATGTACTGTGCTGTTGACTCATTAAAATTAAGCTCATGCCCAACAGCATAGGACTGAACTAAGCTTATATAACACACATGTTTCTATGTTAAAGTACATTACAGCTGTCTTGTACTTCGGGATAGTAGATAGCACTTTAGTATTTTGCTCGGTGCCATTTCAAACAGCACAATCATCAAAAGCAAGCAGAAAGGTACTGAAACATGCCAGTAAGTGGACCATGAAAAAGACATTTGTATACAGTATCAAAACTCAGGCAAGAAAGCAGAGGTCTCACAGTTTGATCCCAGTTGGGAACATAAGTGCTGGATGACTCTTAACTTTTCACCTTTCCATATGTCCAAAAATAACCACAAAGTGCTATGGTACTGGCTGTGAGATACAAATAAAGTTCACTAAGTGAATATATGAATATAGAATCCGTGAATATTTAGTATTGACTGTGAATATTTAGTATGTTAGGGAACTTCTCAGGTAACTAAGCTATTTTTTTAGTAATGGCTAGTATTGTTAAAGCTTTGTGTATTCTTTTGTTACAGAAGCAAGATATATTAGATGTGGTCATATGATAAGGCTTATTTGAACAAAAGAAGCAATGTTTATTCCCTATTCAAAACAAATAGTAAGTTCATAAGTAAGTCATGTTGATGTCTCTTCAGTAACAAAGTGGCCAACATTTGTAAGTTACCTGATATCCCACCATGAATGGGACATGTGCTAACAATGTTTTCTCCCTTTAGATCAAGGGGACACATTGTTTGTTCTGCTTTAAACACCACACCCAAAAGACAACACACTGCCCAAACTCCATGACTAGGGTGAACAATTTGTTCTAAGTAACCTGTTCATATCCTATGACTATTCTTAGGGAAAGACCTATTAAACTCTCATATAGCTACGCTGAACTCAAAGTGGATCTGCTGTTCAGACTGGCAGCCATGTGCCTGTCACAGGAGGATATGGCCAAAATCTATCTGCTCTCTTTCAATAACGCCCTCACGCTGCTGACTCATGACCATCAACCAACCAACCAACCAACCAACCAACCAACCAACCAACCAACCAACTTTCTTTCCTTCCTGTCTGTCTGTCTGTCTGTCTACTTGTTGCAGACAGGGTTTCACTCTGCAGCCCCAACTGGCCTTGAACTTGAAGCAATCTTCCTACCTCAACCTCCAGAGAGTTGAGATTACAGCATGAGCTACTAGGCTCAGCATCAACGTTCTTTTCTCTTTTAGAACAGAATATACTTATTGGGGGAAAGAAAGCTCCTATCCGAGAAAAGGACAGAAGGGGTATGGGGGTCAAAGAGGTTGTCCTCATCAACGTTCTTTTCTATTATCCAGTTTTCCATAGTAATTTAAAAGAGCAACAATTCTTTCTTCTGAGAAAGGGACTCATGTAGTTCAGGCTGTCCTTGAACTCACTATGTATTCCAGGTTAGCCTCAAACTCATAGTAATCTTCTTGCCTCAGCCTCCTACGGGCTGGAATATAGGCATGGATCACCATACACTGTTAACAATTATTTTTTATTTATTTATTTTGAGACAGGGTCTTGCTATGCAGTTCAGGCTGCCTTGTGCTTACTTTTGTAGCCACCAGGCTGGTCTCAAACTTGCAGAGATTCTGCTATCTCAACCTCCTGAGGGCTGAGATTACAGGCACATACCACCATGCCTGGCTTGGGGGCTGCAGGGCATGCAGGATCAAAGATCAAACTCGGGACCTTGCACCTGCCATGGAGGTGCTTATGCCTCTGAGCTATCTCCCCAGCCCCATGTAACAATTGTTTCTTAAGGGCCATTATTCCTTGGAGACTATAGCACGATCAAAAGAAAAGCTCTTCCTAAACCCCAGCCAACACCCATCCTTGGAACAACTTTTTGGCAGTCACTCTCTGCCAGCTGTCTCCTTAGCACCTACCCACACCTGTCACACATCTCATGCAGCTGTGCCTTCACTTACTCTCTAGCTCACTAATGAGCTGGTTGTTGTGTAACTTGACAGCGCGGTGCTGTTCCACCTGATCTTCCAATTCAAATATGGTTTCTTTCATGTCTTTTATCTCTGCATCACTCTCTGATGCCTTCTCTTGCAGTTTTAGGCTAGTTCTGCTCAGTTGTTCTGCTTGATGATCACAGATCTCCTTCAGGTAAGAATAATCTTTTTCCATCTAGAAGAAAAGGAATGTTTCACAATTACTTTAACAATGAAAAAGTTGCCTATATGTCAGCAGCCAGGCTTGGTGTAAAGGTAAAGGATGCTCTAGGCATGTGACAGTCCTCACATTCTCAGCCCAAGAAACAGCCAAGCTTCAGGGTGTTAAAAGAAGCACAACATACTTGCCTAAACGGCTGGCTTCTGTGCCCCTCCTATAAACAGAAAGAATGCTGCATGTATTTAAATGCCCTTCTTAAAAAATAAAATAAAAGGGGCCAGGGAGTGGCTCAGTGGAATAAGCGCTTCCCTGGCAAGTGCAAGGGCCTGAGTTCAATCCCCGGTTCCAAATAAATAAATAAATAAATAAATACATACATACATACATACATACATACCCTTCTTTCTTTCCCATCCTGGATAGAAAAGCACTTCCCCATTAAGGGGGTGGGGGTGCACTAATTCACATCCGCTGTGCAGCAGCGCCCTCTGCTTGTCAGATGTGAACAACATTCCTGAAAACTGACTCGTCAGTAAACTGCTGCATGTTAGCCTTAACTGCTCGAGGTTATATCAGTTTTTTAGACGAATGAAACACAAGTGTGATGGAAAGCAAAGAACACAGAAATGTGCATGCACCAGAAACACAGAAGCTGCAAGCATTGGAGTTTCACCTGGTCAATTTTCAATTTTTACAAATTTTAATAATTAACAGAAAAGCACTCAATGAGACAACCATGCACACAGACTTAAAATAATTAAACTTGCCACATCTGCTAAATATCTACACTTTAATAAGATTTTTTAATGCCTCAACTTATCTCAGACAGTAATGAGCATCATCCTAAAAGTGATGCATGATCATTCCCTGAACGGTTTTTCCATTTTTACTACACATGTATATGCATATAATACATGGTAATATTCTGGATATTTTAGAACCTATGCACAAATGATACATTATTGTTTTTCAGCATACTATATTATACTGCAGTATAAGGTTAATGTTTTTGTCCCTCACTATACAATGTTAGGGTTTTTATTGTTTTTGGTTTTTTGCGATACCAGGGATTGAACTCGGGACCCTGCCCTTACCAGGCAGGCATTTATTCTATCTCCCCAGTCCCTTTTTGTTTCTTTAAAAGACACTATGTAGTATCAGCTGAACTTAAACAAGCCTAGGTTGGCCTTGACTTTTGATGATCTTCCTGCCTCAGCCTCCTGAGGGCTGGGATTATAGGCGTGTGCCACCAAACCTGGCTCTTACTGTACTTGTATAACTTGTTTTTAACTGTTTTTGAGATCTGTCCATATTGATATGTGTTACATTAAGTCATTGTTTTCACTACTGTATGTTAGTATTTCACTGTCTAAATATACTATGTTATTAGTGTCAGTGCTGCAGTCAGCATCACTGCTCCTTTTTTCTAGTCTTTTAATTTTTTTAAAATTTTATTTATTTATGTGTGTGTGTGTGTGTGTGTGTGTGTGTGGCCAGCTCAGCTCACCAGGGGGCGGGGCTGGCTGGCATGTGGTGCTGGGGGATTGAACCGAGGTCCCTGCGCTTTGCTAAGCTTGTTCTAAGTATAAGTAGGTGCTTTAGACCACTGAGCCATCTCACCAGCCCCATCTAGTCTTTTAATTAAGGTTACTAAATAGTTGTATATTTATCAAATAATTTAAGCCTATTGGCTAAGAGATTTTTTTCTGAGCTTTTTTTTTTTCACTGTCTTTTACTTCATATGCAATCAAAATTTTTCCCAACTGCATTTCATATGCAAAGCTGTGAACTCCATGGGGACAACCTTGACTATTTTATTCACCACTGGATCCTTGAGACTACACAGTGGACACAGAGAAGGCACTTGATAAGTATTTGACGAATCAATGCGCAAACACTAGAAGACAGTATTGCAGTAGTTTTCACTTGGGAAGCTAGGGTGGAAAGAGGGAGAAAGAAACCAAAAAGGGAGCCAACATAAGAACCACAACAGCCAAGGTACATGGCCTGCACTAGGACAGCATTGCTCTGTGAAACCTGTGCTTTAATTACAAAAATATGTGGCCCAGGGTTGTAACAAAACATATCACTGCAGGTGGTGGTCAATAAAGACTGAAAACTGCTGCAGACCTGAGTCAGACAGCCATAGTTTAAGTCCAAGTCCACTGTTAAGAGTCTACGACTGCCTATTTGTGTCACTGGCATGTCTGCTGGTCATTAATATAAGCTCATGAATTTAGCTTCTCTAGTTCAAGAATTATACTACTAACACCCAGCAACATGATTTCCACATTTTATCACAGAGAAAAATCATTTTCATGAATTCCAAGTATCTCTCATCTTTGAAAATCAACTTCTTCCAAAAGAGAAGGTGAGATTGTGTTACAAATAGACTCAAAGAAATTTCCCAGGAACACTAGGACTTCCTGGAGAAAGGACAGAGAAAGCCATTCCTGATGCACTAACAATTGCCAAAGGCAGATGGCAGCCAAGACAGCTCTACAGTCTTCAGGGTAGTGAGCCTGAGAGCCTGCTCTGATCAGATGGGGCTATAATCTTACTTAGCCAGTATCACTACCTCCACCTCAGCATGTCAGACCCATGAACCTGTGGAAAAGATACGGTGATGGAGAAAGAGGTATGGATACAGGAAGTAGATTGACATGTGCTCTGGGGATCTACCCTGTGGGACAGACAAGGAAATAGGTTCCTGCAGGAGAAGCAACAAGATAGGTTGTCATACAAAGACCTGGGTTAATGGCTTGGAGGTCAACATCTGGGATACCTTTTAGTTCTTCCCTGTAGGGAAGCAATGCCTGGCTCTATCCTCCCAATGGATGAGCCATGAGATGTGGCGACCTGGGGAAAGAAGCTCTCCTTGGTAAAGTCCTGGAGAGGGACTACAAGCTGGTAGAGTCAGTGACTACTAGTTCCCATCAGCTGGGAGGAGGGTTTGCTTCAATCCTGGGGAGTTTCTGTATGCACCCCACAAATGAAGGTATGAAAGAACACTGGTACCACACACATCTAGATTCTCTTTTAAGTGTCTCAGTACTGGACATAGTGTTTTAACTAGGAGATAATTTGACTACAGTGAATAAAGATCTCTATAAGGTCCACCTGTACATCTTTCTTAGTTTCATATGAAGGTACAAAAGAAATCAAGTTAGAGGTCAACTAAGTGCAAGGTCTCATCGTACACAAACTAACCTGGGATCCCTGGACTCTGGAAGGCTGAGGCGGAAGAACCACAAGTTTAAGCCTGGAAAACTTAGCAACTTAATGGGAGCTTCTTTCAAAATACAAAATAAAAGCCAGGCATGGTGGCACACACCTATAATTCTAACACTTGGGAAACAAAGGCAGGAAGATCACTGTGTTTCAGGCTGGCCTGGGCCACAGAGTGAGTTCAAAGCCAGCCTGAACTGCATAACATGACCCTATCTCAAAATACAAGGGGGCAGACTCTGACAAAACAAAACAAAAAAAGGGGGATATAAATAAAGACCATTTTGTAGTGAAAAAAATATATGTATATACAAAATAGTTATGATAGATATACAGCTACTTTCTCTTAGTTCGAGGAGAAATGTTTGTACTAATATTGTTTAGACAAGCTATCATGTCTGCATCTTGTCCTCTTAATAACTACTACGAAGACAATATAAAATGTATTAATTATTGTAACTGTCCTACTAACCTGTTTTGAAACTTTTATTGCTATTTTTTTCTCATTAAAATTAATATTTTTTTTAAAAAACCAACTTAAAACATAAAAAAAAGAGGGGAGGGAGTGAAGATGTAGCTCAGTACAAAGGCCCTCAGTTCAATCATCAGTACTGAAATAAAAATGACAGATATGGGCAGACATAGTTAGCTCATTATAATAAATTCTTCTGGGGGGCCGAGGAGATGGCTCAGTGGAATAAGCGCTTCCCTGGCAAGTGCAAGGGCCTGAGTTCAATCCCCAGTTTTACCTAAATAAATAAATAAATAAATAAATTCTTTGGAATAAATTCCAGAACTATCACAATCATATAAATACTTGTACTAGAAACCAGCTGAGGCAGAGCAGTGATGCTGCCAACAGACTTGTGAAGTAAACCCTCCATCAACACTGCTGCTTCTTTTTTTTTTTTTGTTAAATATATTTGGTACAGGGTCTACAGGGTCTACAGGATCTTACTGCACAGGTCAGACTGGTAGTGATTCTGTTTTCAACCTCCCAAGTGCTGGGATTACAGGCACACGCACCACCACGCCCAGTCTCAATCGATGCCTCAGTGCGCCCCAGGGGCGGGGCTAACATGGCATGCCAGGGATAGAACCCTGGCCACTGTGTTTTGCTGGTGCTTTAGTCCACTGATCTATCTGACTGGCCCTTCATCGCTGCTTCTTGTGTAATGATTTCAGTTGTTTTTATTTTTGCAGGGCTGGGAACTGAACTCAGGGTTTCACACATGCTAAGCAAGCACTCTACTACTGACCTGCATTCTTAGCCCATGTATGCCATTTTACTTAGCTTTTGCCTGAATCTGGTATTATATTGTCCATTCATAGTTATCTTGAAGATTAAAATAAGAAAATCATCTCCCAGGGCAGAGAACGGTGAAAGACATTAAGACTCTCCTGCCCCCTTCAATCGTACTTTCTCCTCCAACACAGCTGAGATTCTTTGAAAACCTCAGGAAAGTCAAATGAGTTTGGGGGAGTCTCCTGGCTAGACATATTTATTGCTCCTAAAGGAACCAGAGTGGCAAAAGGAAGCTGTAGGCACAAGAACTGAAGTTTTTCATGGCTTGGGAGTACCTCTGGCCTAGAGGGATCTCCAGGATTTCACGAGGCAGATGAAAGCAGCTTTGGTGAGCAGATCTGAACATCCTGCCTGGTTCCAACAGCCAATAAGCTGCTTCAGGTCCTATGCTCCCTCAGGAAACAGCACAACCACAAATGCAACCACACAATCAGAGGATTTTTGAATGGACTAAAATGTTTCTTCCCCAAAACATCAAATC